GCTCGTACAGAGAGTCCTCGGCATTCTTAAGCTTCACCTTCTGTTCCTCATTCTCCACAATCCCCTTCCTCTTCTTCAGCTCAGTCTCAATGTACTTCATCCTGAACACCAGCACACAAGGGACACGTGGTATTTAGTTATGTTTTCTGTACTCTGTTCCAGCACTGCTGAGCACAGCTGCATCACTATCACAGCAGCTAGGGGAGAGGAATGAATAATCACTCCAAAACCACTCAGCTAATATAAACTGCAACAAGTAAAACATTTGCTACTCTGTCCAAGAAAAGATCAGATCCTCCAAGGTCTGCCACAACCAGCAGAGAAGGCCGCCACTGGTATATAATGCCATAATGCCACCATGCTAGCTGGCTGGTCAGCACCTCCCAGCTTTGTTCAAGAAACAGCCTTCTCCAGTCTGGCAGCCAGAAGGTGCAACAGTAAATGAAAGTTTCAGGAAGGAGGAGGAAGATGTTTTGGGAACTCTTACTGTCCAAGACAGAAGGGGGGAAAAAAAACAACAACAACAAAAAAAACCTGTGAGAGGATCACAGGTCCAGATTCAGCACCACAGACACAACGCAGAACAACTTACATGTCAGCGTCTTCATCTCGCCTGTTGGTTTCAGCTGAGAAGGAAGTTCCCAAGTTCAGATCTTCCTCTTCATTAATCCTAAATGGAAATCACAATGTAACAGTTGTTTTATAAACTAATTTGACATATTACGATAAGGGTAACTAGCCAAGCTGCGTTATATTGATATTATAATAATATAATTAATGACAATATATAGTGAACATAACTGCATAATATAATACATAATATATTGTTATAATAATATAATTGATACAGTTATATTATTCTTCAAAACAATGCATCATTTGGTTAATTCACTAGTAGCTGTGATTAGAGACCAGTCCAAAAAAGGTTTTCGGAGCTCATATACACCCACTTGTCCTTGCCCCGTTCTTTCAGCTTCTTCATGTCCACCATCCCACCAGATTTTATCTTAAATGGGTCATCCTGTAAAACATGAAATGAGAAATCCTGAAGCGTTCCTCTAGTTTTAGGCTAGTCTTCAAAATCTGGATAAAAACACAGAAAACTTACAGGTTTTAAGATGTGACCATCAGTCCTATCCCCGACTGGACTCACAGTGTGGTCCTGTCCACTGGACCACACTGATGTTTTCACATCACTATGTGAAACTGAGGTGATGAAAAGAATCTAGCACTTACCACAAGCGTTGCTTCTTCTTGCAGCTTCTCCCCAACAAGCAGAGCTGCAGCACTAGTCAACCAGATACAGAAGGTAAATAAAATTCAGTAGAAGGAAAATATTACCAACACTACTGTGTTTTTTTACTTTTCTCTAAATCTATCAGACAGCCTCAAACGCTTTAGTAATACAAAACTGTCAGGCTTCCTAATCCCGCTCTATGGATAGAGGAACTATGACTGTCTCTGAGAGGTAAGAAGTTAAGGCAGACAGATTTAAGTGACTTACAGTGAGTCACCAGAATAAGGAACAGAGCTCATTGCTGGTGCACATTTCAACTCACCAGTCAGTGGCACTAGATGAGAAAGGGGAGAGGGAATTTAGGACAGAAGAGATGTGAGACAGTCCAGTGTAAACCCTGTATCACTCTGTAATATGTACAGTACAGATGAAGTGGCCAATACAGCAAATCTCTGATGACATGATTCAACGTAGAGGGCAAAAGCAAGGCAATGTGGTAATTTGATAAGAAGACAATTCATGTTAAATCCCAATCTTAATCTTTTTCTTCATGGCTGGGATATAGACCAGATTTGCACGCTGTGTCACTATACCTAATATACCCTCTTTTCCATCTTCAGGCTTTAATATAAGAAGTCCTCTGCCTAAAACACACTTTTGGTGCTGTTGGCCAGGTAGCTATTTCTACTGAAAGAAGGCAAATAACAGCAGAGAAGTTTACTGTTACGTTACGCCATCAGACAAAACACAAGTTCACCTCCTTCGTACTATATCCCTTACCTCACCCCATTGGGTCGTTTTCTGAGGCTCTGAACTTCTTTGGCTTCCTCAAGTTTTAACCTGGAGAAAAAAACATTCAGCTTAGGACTTTATGCTTTGGGTTTAATTAAGAATCAACATTTTCTGCACTTAACACAGGAACTTCCAGAAAGACTTTGCCCTAAACCTCTGCATATGAGTGTCCACTTTTCTGGTTACAGATTAGAATGACGTATATTTTCCATTTCATTTTATTTAAGCAATTCCATTTATTTAAGCAATCAGAAGAACCACGTGGCACCTACCGGGATATGTCCCTTCAACATATCTTCCCTCAGCTGAGGAAAGAAGCATCCAAACACTGAAAGACTTTAATTTGAGGCCAATATGGGAAGAAAGAGCCAAGCATTATTGTTCCTGTACTTAGTCTGTTAAGATCCCCAGCCAGTATTTTCCTCAGAGTAAAACAAAGAGGGTCACCAAATCAGAATTTCATTAAATAAGCGTGGGACCCTTTCAATCCTCCAACATTTCACATTAGCTAATAAAATAACACAGTCATTTCTCAGAGGAAGGGGCAACTAATGAAGCAGCTGATTAGAGCGAAACTAGCAGCAGCTTCAAGTGAATGTAGAAAAACTGAGTGGTCATCAAAACACACCGCTACGGGAATGGCTCAGAAAAAAGTTGCATTGTTAAGTATCAATATATGGATGTCTATATATGGACTTACATGCATTCTTAATTTCTTCAGATATTTCAATCTCCCTTAATCATACATACTTTCAATATCTACCATGAAATATGCATCATAAAATATTTTTCAGAGATAAAATAACAAGAAAAATCTTGCGTGGAATGCAAAGATCTGAAAATAAAACGGACTATCAGTGAGCGCCCATTTCCAAATGGTAGAAGTGGAAGAGAAGTAACGCGTAAAAATGGCGCACAAAGACAGCAAGAGGGCTGGTGCCAAGGGAGAGGCCTCAGGAGAGTCTGTGTTAGTCAACAGTGACTGGATACTGTTCTAGCTGGCTCTCATTCCCTTAAAGTACGGCCTCTCCGGTTGTCTTGACTAATTGGGTTGACAAACTACAAATGCAACCGTTTTCTTGTCTGGAACGTCTCAAAGGAAGGGAGAAGCCAGACGGGAACAGCTGGCAGCAAAGCAAAGGTTGGACAACAAATATTAAAGCTGTAACACACCCACCAGAGCGGGCCTAACGCTTCTCAGCGCGGCCGGAGCCCCTGCCAAGTACAGACCCCCCCCTGCACTGCAGG